GGATAGTTATAAAAATACAAAGAAACCAGATCAGACCAGACCAGACCAGACCGGTTCCGACCAGATCAGACCAGACTAGACTTGGATAGTTATAAAAATACAAAGAAACCAAACCAGACCAGACTAGACCAGACTAGACCAGACCAGATCAGACCAAACCAGCAAATTACAGTCCAAGTAAAAACATCCTAATTACTATGTATAATCAAACATTGTGTTCCAAACACTGTACCACTAACTAAATATACAATGAAAATGATAAATACATTTACGTACAAACCATAAAATAACCAATTCAACTCCATTTTAAAATTTGATTTATGCCATGGTTTGATATCATTTTTCCACGAGTTAAGAGACAGCGTTTGTAATCAGAATGTGACATCACACAACTTTTATTATAAATTCAAGTAGTTGGTTTTAAACAAAATGGTTCTGAAATATGTATTATTATATGCAACAATTGATATTTTCTACAGAAATTTCTTAGAACGAGATTAAAAGCAATGTTATATTACAAAAAAGAGTATCTTATAGTTTGATTTTACCGGACGTTAATATGACATATTCACAATATAAATATCATACTCCGTTATTGCTAATAATTTTCAAATGTAACTTCAAATACATCCATTTAAAGAAAAAACATACCACTATAAGAAAAGAAGACAAAATCATGAGGGAAGGAGGGAATAACTTTTATTGCTACAATCTATATTCTCATGAAATGCTTTTTCTTTTTTCAATCCAAAAAGTGACATTGTTTGCCCTGATCCCACACACCCGCCGACCTCACACAATGGTGAAATAGTAAATCACGGTATAATCTCAATAAATAGTTTGTGATTGAAATGGTTCAGAACTTGTACACACACAGAATTACCATATGCATTGGACAAAATTTCTACATACACTCCCACTAGTAGGCAAATTTAGCTCCTTTCCGGTAACAGGAATTCTCCATTAGGAGAGAGATAGAGTGAGATGTGGAAGTGGTGGGGTATGGAGAAAGAAAAGATGGGGTTTAATTATTTTTTTTAAGGAGAGGGATAGAGTGAAAAAGAAATGGAGAGAGTAAATGGAAAGAAGGAAATGGAGAGGAGTATGACTCCTAGTAGGCAAGGTCGAACCCTCTGTTGAGGCAAAGAGGCAATTGCCTCAAGCCCAAAAAATTTGGTAAATAATATGTGCCATAAATAATTGTATTCTAGTATTATATATATACAATTTTTTTCTAGTTTATTAAAATAACAACAATACAAAAAATATTAATCAAAATAATATCATGCAACTATGTGGGATTAGTTATATGATGTAGGCATATTAATTAAATTACTGCTTACAAACTTTAATATCCAAATTTTACATTATTCAAAAGTCTTTTAAAAAAATTCGACCCGAGCCAAAAAAACCTTAAGACCGGCCCTGCTAATAGGAGTTAAATACTTCATTCGTCCCGAAAAGATCCGCTAAATTGATCTTTATTGATAATGAGAATACCCGCATGGGTAGCTCAGTTGGTCGAGTGGTGGAAGATTTGGAACAATGGACCAATGTTCGAATCCCCGCAGCGATCGGGTGGAGGTCACAGAACCTGAAATAAGGCTGGGCCTCTTGTGCGCACGGGTGTATGGGCCTACTGCCATTCTGCTGACTGAGTCACCGTGACTAACCTCCTCACCATCCTGTCGGGTCGGGGTGGGGGGCTCCTGGGGTGGGAGATTCCACCTTTTTTGGAACAATGATAATGAGAATTATCTTTGACTCATGATATTTTTTGATACCATATTATTTTGAATATGAAAATATCAACTCATTATTCAAAGGTGAGAGCCTTTGCGACACTGGGGTAAATGAAAATGATGATGATAAAAATTACAGCTCATTCAAAATATTGGATAAAATGTACCATAAAGTTTATAAATTTTATACAATTATAATAATTAAAATCATATCCAAAATTTGTCATTAATTGATTAAGAAAAGGATGGGACTAAATGGAGAGTTAGGAGTTTAGCTTGCACACTTAGGATGTTTTTACGTGGAATGTAATTCGTCCCAGACCAAACCAGATCAGATCAGACCAGACCAGACAAGACCAGTTCAGACCAGACCAGACTTGGATAGTTATAAAAATACAAAGAAACCAAACCAGATCAGATCAGACCAGACCAGTTCAGACCAGACCAGACCAGATCAGATCAGACCAGACCAGATCAGACCAGCAAATTACCGTCCAAGTAAAAATATGGTTACTTTGCAAATAAAATGGTTGACTAGTTAGACTTTCAATAAATTAAGTGGAGGAAGTGCACGATTGAAATGATGGGCATCCTTCAATTCAGTGCAAATAATGACAGTTGAAGATGGTGATGATGATACAAGCTCTAGAGCTTTTCTTCTTCTTCAATTAAAAACTGATGGAAATGATTCAACTCAAGTTTTCATCCTCTGGATTATAGTGAGTTGACAACGGTATACCGTTGTTCATAACGGATTATTGGGAGTTTCAAAGGATAAAAGGAAGCTTTGCTGGCATTGGCATGCATGTCAGCAGCAAGCACCTGACACGTGGGTACAACCTGATCCTCCTTCATTTCATGTCGTCACCACGTGGGCACGTACGGACGCTGGCTGGGTGTGACCATATCCTTGCTTCTACGGCCATAAACTCTGTTTGGTAATCCCAAACAAAAATTCAACATTATTAATTATTACCTCCGGCACGGTAGATTTTGTTAATTTCAAACTACGTCACAAATAAGAAAAATAAATGTTAGATATATGCGGATATGAAACAAAAGAGTAGAATCACAAAGAGAAAATTGCTCCGTGTAGGACTTAATCAAAGCAATTTTATAAAAAATAGTACATACGTATGTTTCTTCCTTCCGTAAGAGTTATGTAGTTCTAATTTTGAAAACTTGATTTTAAATTTCCAATTTTACCCTTACTGTCTATGTATCGCCTGCTATTGAGTTATTATTTGAAATTACTTTATGTTTATTGACTACTTAATGTCTATGTATTGTCTAGTATTTGCAAGTTTGATTTTGGATCTAATTTCTTCAAAAGTTTTGCAGAACACATGGGCGTCCACCGCCACATAGTTTATGAAAACAATAACCCTATTTAGCCATATCTCTGGTTTCATCAATTTATCACAGATTCAGAACATCCATGCCACTCAATTGGCCTCAAAACCTTTACTCATCGAAGATTGAAGGTCGTCCGCACCCCCGCCGGTCGTATCGCCCCCAAATCCCGCCGATTTAAGGCCAAAACCATCTTCTTCCCCTACAATCTTCGTGGACGACATCGAAATCGGACAGAAAAGAAAGAAGAAGAAGAAGAAGACATCGGAAACCAGTACGCCGTGGTGCGGCGTGGCGGCGAGTAGGGCGGCCTGGTTTGGTGCTGCGGCGGCCCTTGGTTTCCTGGGCACGTCCATTTGGAGATGACGAATTGAATTGTTTGATTCGCAGGGGTTTTAAAACGAAGGGCAAAATGAAGGGCAATTTGGTCAAAGCTCCTATACTTAAGTCTTACCCTAATCTATAGTCTGAATTTTGGAAAATTAGTATGATTAAATCCTATTTGTTGAAATCTCCCAATCACAAATCACTTATTTTCATTAAAAAGTTGTAAGATTTTTAAGAAATAAATGGGACGACTGAAGTATATTTATAAAATACGTAACTTTTAAATTTGTACACTGAATTGTGTAATAATTTAAATAAGGAAATTAAAGGTGAAATTACATTTGTGGATGAATGGGGTGAAATTGCTGAGTACGACCATTTTAACTTTTTCTTTGGGAAATTGCCCAAAATAAGAGCAAATGAGATTTGGAATTCGAAAATATGATTAGTATGTTTTTCTTATCGAAATAGGAGTTGTTACTATCATGTATGAAAAATACTGTCATGATTGAAAAATATTGTCATTAATTATAATAAATATTGTCATGTTAAATGCACTGTACTGTAACTATTTGGCAGTCACGCCTAGAAGATGAAAGTAAATACTGCAATGTTAGTCCCATTTCGAGAATAAAAACATAGTAGATCTATTTTGAAATTTCAAACTCCATTTACTCCTATTTTGGAAAATCACCCTTCTTCTTTTTGTAAATACTTTTTTCTTTATTTTATGAGTGAAATATTTACAACATAATTTGGTTTACAAACTCAGAATTAAGATCAACCATTCATCCGCTTCAGCCATGATGATCTCACCGATTTCAATAAAGGATTCAACTAATTTCGAACTTTTAGAGACTACTTGATAACACTGTTTTTCGGTTTATTAGAGCTATTAGCCAACTTTTTTACCAAACACGTAATCTTTTTCCCGTGCGCTGAATTGTGTAATACGAGTAATAAGAAAAAGTAGGGTTTAAGTTACTTTTTTGGCTGTATTGACTGAAGTTACTGTAAATGACCATTTTAGCTATTTTTACATATAAATTTTTCTTTAATTTATAAATAAAATATATTTTAATTTTTTTCTTAAATCAACAGAAATGCAACCATTTCAAAACAATTATATTTATTCGCACCTCAAAATATTTCATTTATTTGTCAAGTTAGACAATAACCAAATTAAAAGATCGTGTTTAAAAAAAATCAACTTCACTCTTCCAAAAAAACAACTTCACACACAGACACAAGAGCATGTTTAGTAAGCCCTATTTTAAACTATCAGTATTTCCAGACAATTTTTTTTACCAAACACACAATTTTTAACTTCATATTTAAATCGTGCGAATCAAAATAAAAAAATTGAAATTACTTTTCTGATTAAATTGGCTGAAATTAATATAGATGATCATTTTAGCTATTTTTCGTACACATTTATATTTTTATTTTTTAATAAAAAAGTTCAATACTCCATATAAATTTTTGATGATTTAGCCGTTTTAGTAAAAATTTCATCAATTTAAACAGATTTAGTCAGTTTAAGTGTCACTAAATAGGTTCTCAAATATGCGGCACAAATAAGATATGCGCAATCATGAAAAAATACATGTATGTTGTCAACATTAGTTTTCGTGCACCAAATACATACATTCATCACTACAAAAAAAGTTCGTTTATTTAAGGAGGACACAGAGCAGCGAACAATTTATTCAATGCAAGTCTGAAGTCATACTACAAGGAAAAGGGGTCACATTTCATCAATCAAAGGAATTGAAGTTCAAAAGGGAACATCCTTATATGAAGACACCATCTTGAGGACATAAACCGGATCCCCCACTTTAATTGTCTTATTTTTAGCTTGAACATGCCCTTCGCCGCAAACAAAGAACTGCCCGAAGTATATCTGCACATAAATTTAATAATATCATCAAATAGCAACCTATATTGCAATCGCGAGGGAAGAACTGCAGATGTTCTAACCTTTCCACGTTGTTTATTATCTGGATGCAAGGTCTCAATTGAGCGGAACTTCGCAAGAGTTTGATTTGGCTCAGAGCCCATTTCTGCAGTTTCTTGATTAAATCTTGGGACCTGATCATATTGTAATGGATGCCTTATACTTGCTAAAGATGGTGAATTATGAACAAAAATTAAAATATATTCTATTAATAACACAAAGAAAATTATAAGAAAGAATCTAAGATAACTCTCTTGAGTCTCCAAAAAAAAACTCTCTTCAGCAAATTAAACTAGAACCTCCAATCTTGCTTGATTATTACACAATTCTACACGCAAAAAGAGGAGTTCACTATTTGGTGAAACAATTGGCTAATAAACCCAAAAGTTGGCTACCAAATGGGCTCTTCATATTGAAGGTAGAGCAAGTCCCTTTGAAATTTGGATTCTTGTTAGATGAGTAGATGCGGAGAAAATTACCTTACAACGTTCACAAAGTTGAGCAGTATCAAATTTTAATCCGTTAATCTTGATCACTTTCCAAAAATCTTCAGCATATGCTGCACATCCATCAACAAGAATGCTGCAGGAAAGCTCCACAGTTTCATATAGATAAAAAGGGAAAAAATGAGTCTTGTTTCGGGACTTTTTGTACAAAAATAGAATGATTAGATCAAACTAAGTCATTTACAGGCAATATGCCAAAATAGTCCCATAAAAATAACCATTTCTGCTATGGATTGATTTTATAAACCCAAGGTAACTTAAAAATCAAATTCCTGAAGTTAAAAAAATTTACTTTGGTCTAAATCTATTCATTGGTACAGGCTCCTCCAACTTCTCATTCAAAGCATCCAGTGATTTCTGGCAACAATGAAGTAACAAAAACAAAAACAACATAGTTACTGGAATCATAGTTAAAAAAGGTATACATACTCAACACCATTTGGTACAAGTCTCCCTCACCTGGGATGCCAGATGAATTGGATAGGAATCAGTGAACTTGATATTATGGCCAGCAGCATACTTGGGGTCTGCAGGTCTAATCTGTGATGCTGTGTGTGATCAGAAAGAAGATGAGAGAGATTTTACAGAAGTATTATGAGATGTGAATTACAACTTTGAGGGAAGCAATCACAGATTCACAGCTTCAACTTTTATCAAACTGCTGAGAATTGAAACAAATTAGGATGAAAAATCCCAGTTTATTTAGGAAGTGCACAATATGATACCAAAGGCAATCTCACTTTGTCGTATTACTAACACAGCAACACATATGGGTCAAGTACGCTCGTGCCCATGTTGAATTGGCTAATAAGGGAAAAAAATAGAGAAATCATTTGTTTCCATCAAAATGGAAGTTGGTTAGGGTGTTTGCATCTATTTTTTAAAACAGATATTGAAATGTTTAGGTGAAAGAGCATAACTACTTCTGGGTGTACCAAATGGCTCATAAAAGCTGTTTTTTAAAAGCGGGAGGAGACCGACTTCCGAAAAATCAATTCCAAACACCTTATTAATTGAATCAAGTGGACGGTTCTATCTAGAGACGGACTCCAGATTTATAATCAAGGTACAATTTCTTTTGGAAATATTTCTAAGAATAATCTGGTAATATTCCTAAGAATAATCTCTACTTTTAGCGATTCTACAATATAAATTTGTACTTCAAAAAACACAAAAATAACCTCAACCCATGATGGTCAGGGCCGGTTCTTTCGGGGGGTTGGGGGCAAGAGGGGCGACCGCCCTAGGCCCGATAAAGCAACTTAATCCCTGTTCACACTCTAATTATTTTTAGTAAATAAAATTAACATATTCAAAAACTACATTAAAACCGCTACAAAGCTTGATAAAAAATGTAAATTTGATAAAAATTTGATTTATAAAGTAAATGATTAAAAATGATTTAAGTTGACCATGCAAATAGTGGACGAGAACCTTCTAATGGGACGGAGGTAGTATATCTGAATTTCTAATTGTTGTTTTAGAGGACGTCAAATTTGTAATCTTCTTGCGCGAGTCTTCTTGGCAGCCAAACATTTTGTCTCTTTGAAAACCTTCATTCTTTCGAGACATCAAACTTTAGACTCTCATTAGCGGTCAATAAATCATTCTCAACTTATGAATTCAATATGTGATAATATTTCTTTTCAAATCCTTTCAAAAGAAAATTTAGTGTTGTTATATGCGGCAATTTTATTGTTTGTCATATTTATTAGTGGAAAGAAGGTTGCCTATGAAGCAATTATTGATGATTTACTTCAAATTGTTCTACGAGAAACATTTTTAAGTAATGTTTTTTCTTTTTATTTGATACTCGTGCTGTTACTTTTGCCCAAGTATGTAACTTAAATAATAATAAAGTGATTTTCGCCTTAATTTTATGAAATGCATTGCCCAAATATGGTTTACTGTTTGTCATGAATATAAGACAAAATAGCGTATCGCCCATAGGCCCAGAAATGAACAGGATTGGCCTGATGATGGTGTTCACAAAAATAGATCATATGAAATTTCCGTTAGTTCATTACCTTCCATTTGGTATTCTCATTTACTCACTTGCACAATTCTTCCTCTTAAGGTAACTTAGCAAGTGAAATTTTCATAAATATGTGCTTGTTCTTCATACCACCGTTTAACAAGATAGAATTTCGATTTTTTTTTTTTTGATTTATCAGAATCTTGCAGCCCGTAGAATCCCCATACGCATTAAGAGGCTTAAAAAAACACGATCAGAAGAAAATGAAAATTTGAGGAAGATATAAAACTCGCCTAGCTCAAGCAAGAGATGATGGAAAGAAGGTTACGAGAAAAGCCAGAAAGAGAAAAAACAAGAAAGTCAGCTGGGAATAAAAAGAGAAGAAACTGAGAGTAAGGGTTGAGGGTATTAGTTCAAATTCACCTCAAATTATTTTTGAAAAAATTGAAAATAATAATCCCAACTATTCTCGATCCGCCGTTAAGAATCTCAAGCATCGATTATTCTTGGGTGATCCCAATTATAGGGTCCATTTTCCAAAAATAGTTTCAAACCGGCTACAATTTGGTATAGCAAGTCAATTATAAATGAGAACTATGCATAAGCTATTAATAACCCCAAGTATAGTGGCGCAACGAACCCTAGCAATCGGCGGCATCGACCCTTGACCAAGATCGATCGATTGAGGCATCGCACAAGTGGGAAGGATTGCGAGGAGACCAACGCCTTAGGAGAGGAGATGCGCTGAATGAAGGCAGGGTGTTCGAGAATTAAATTAGCAACAAAGAAACTGCGGTCGTCTCTAGGATCTTCCTAGGAGTTTTTCCGGCGGTGGCTCCGGTCACCTGGCTCGGCTAGTCCTTGCGGCGTCCCCGTCGACTGAAGAACAGAAAAAGATGAGCGTCCTCAGCTAGATTTGCAGAGGTCTACGAAGCCCGAAAACATTCCAGTGCTTTGCCGGTGGTGGCGGTCTCATACGGGTGAAAGAAGACGAAGAGATGTTGATCCGCCCCCCTCCTGAACCGCCGCCATGGAGGAATTGTGCGTCTAGGGTTTGGAAGACTATTTCTACTTTTGATTTAGCTTGGTTGTGTTCTTACTTTGATTTTTATGTAGTTTTGTTGGTGATTTACGTTTATTTTTGTCAGACTCTTGCATTAGGTTGGGGCAATGAGAGGTTTACTCTAACCACGTTAGGCTCATTTAGATACATTACAAGATCAGAAAAAAAAAGATACATTACAAGATCAGCGAGCCATATTGCTTTATTTTAAGTGATTGACTCTAAGTCGAGTTCGAGAGTCGGTGGTTGGAAGTACTTTCTTGTTCCCTTCCTGAATGCTTTGATATCAATTTAAAGCCACCTTGTTCCAAAAAAAAATCCCAAGTATAGTCCATCTTTTTATTAATCCCAATTATCAACTCTCAATGTTTGGAAGATATAGAAATATTTTTATAATTTTCAAACTAAATAATTTTAAACATGTAAAAATAATTACGAAAATTCTACAAATATGACGAAGTTGAATAAAATATTTTTTTGTCATTTTTGGATTTATTTTAATTAAAAAATTTCATTTTTTCTTTTTTCCAATATGTTTTTCCAGTTTATAAATTTATTCTTTTGCATTATTTTCCTTTATTCAAAAAGTAAATTGTGGTTAATTTTTTTAGAATTTAGAGCTTTATTCTAGCTTTTCTTATGAAATATATTTTACTTGATATATTTCTATTTTATATAATATACTTGATTGGTTCCAAAAATATAATGAAAATATTATACGAAGTATATAAAATAAAGAAAATAGAAAGAAATTAAAAATAATAAAATGGAAAAAAGATAAAATATGGATCTTTAGAATTAAGATAGCATAAAAATAAAAAAATATATATTTTCATGAAAAAAGATAGTTAAATCTCTAAACCCATAAAAAATTTAATCAAAATTTACTTTTTGAAAACAAAAAATGTAAATTTGAATAAAGAAAAATAATACAACATCATAAATTTGTAACATAATTGGAAAAATCAAATCAGAAAAAAGGAAAAAATGAAATTTTAGTGAAAGTAAATAAAAACGACAAAGAATATTTTATTTAACTTCGGTACATTTGTGTAATTTTAGTTTAATTATTTTAACATATTTAAAAATATTTAGTTTTGAAATTAATAAAAATATTTCTATATCTTCTGAAAATTGAGAGTTGATAATTGGATTAATAAAAGAAGATCGACTAGGGATGGACTGGGATGGGCCTACTCGACCCGCTACATGACTAGGCCTGAGACCCGACCCGGCTGAATAAGAAGGCGGGCATCGGGCTTTGGTTTTAGTGGACCGATCCGACCCGGATGGGCCCGGTCCGGGCCTAACGGTCAAGATTTAAAAAAAATATTAAATCCTTCAATAAGAAATTAGCCTGACCTGACCTAGTCCCATCCCGAAGTCCGACCGGGTAGTTTGGCTCGACCGGGTACCCGGACAAACCCGAGCTGACACCGGGCCTGAAATCCTGAGCCCGAAGCCCGTCCGATCCCGGCCGAAGCCCGACCTGAAGCTTTCCCAATATACCCCTAAGATTGACTATAGTTGGGATTATTAAAAGCTTACACATAGTTCATATTTAAAATTGATCTGCTATATAAGGTTGTAGCCGGTTAGGGACTATTTTTGAAAAATGGCCTCTATAGTTGGGACTATCGAGGAATAATCTATACTTGAGGTTATTAACAGTAGACCGACAATAGTTGAAATTATTATTTTCAATTTTTACTGAACACTGAAAAATCATCTTACTATTTCTAACTTTTTGGAGGTTAGAATTGTAAATAAAAAATTTTCATTTATTTTCTAAAAATTCGCACCAAATCCACTTCTGCTCTCAATTATGATATTTTAATTTGCTGGTCTGGTCTAGTCTAGTCTGAACTAGTCTGGTCTGGGGGGAATTACAGTCCAAGTAAAAACATCCTTAGTCCGTTACTCTTGAAGTCACACACCACCAAAATATGAAATAATAAAGTGTTATAATAATATTTTGAATTACTACTCCTATCAAACTTTTAAAATGAAACCTCCGGTTATTTTGGTTTATGAGTAATTCAGATTTGGTCACTTTTAATCATGGTCTTTTTTTCAAAAATATTATTCAAATAATACTTATTTACGGAAAAGACTAAAATTACTGTTAATATAGCGTCATGGCCATCTATGTGTAAAAATTAAACATACATTATTGTGATTAAGTTACTACTATAATCACTATTTTTAGCTACAATTTTGTACTTCATCTGTCCCATAAAATTCTTTCTATTTTCCATTTTGTATCGTTCAAAAAAATTTCTCACTTACCATTTTTAGACAATATGTATGATTCACATTCATTTTACTTTTTTTACATAATTACAACCATACATTTCTACTCTATTCTTAATATGCTAGGAAATATTTTTTGGGATGGAGGGAGTAACTCTCTCTAATACTCCGTACAAGATACATGTGGAGTACCTTCTTGAAAGCGCACGAGCCGGCTAGGTTGCTCAAGATACTGGGTGAACCATTCTGCCGCTTCATCTCCCTCGTCCAAGGCAGCCCCAGTCCACCCCCACACCGAGACACCATCGGATAAAGTAGAAGGCTCAATTAATGGGACCTTCAGAACATTCATTCCGGAAGCCCTCACCTCTGTTCAATTTTATAATGGACCGGAAAATAGCTCATCATTAATTAATAATTGAAAACTCAAGAAGGAATAATCAAACATTAAATCCATGAGTTTCAATACATCGGATAACCTACCGAGAAACGAGCCGCGATGGGGTTCCCAATTGTCACGAAATGCCTCAGGCGGTAGAGCCACTTCAACCAGAGCAAGCTTGGGGTGGACTCTCTGAGTACATGCTCTGCCGCTTGAATTCACCACCATCCATAGCCGGTCCCACCGGAACCCTAAACGCACCAACATTAGCCGCGGAGGAAATCGAGAATCGGAAATATTTCAAAGTGATTTAATACCAGTGGGAGTGACGGGAGCTTGGGAAACAGAAATCCAACGGCATGACTTGATTGGGAAAATCCAGATGGACTCCACTTTTGCGGCTTCTTCAAGTTCTTCTTCGATAACTTCTTCCTTCCATAGAAGTCTGCTGATTAGGCCAGTGATGCTCATGGTTGAGTAAGTTGATTGAATTGTATAATGTCTTTCTTCTTTTTTTCTACTAGCCCAAAATTTGATTGGCAATTCAGTACTGTTAGGCTATTCACATATATCAGAGAGTTAGAGCTCACGGATGTAGAACCACAGATAGTGTGTTTTTTCACCCCCAAATGGCCCACGCGCAGACTGCACAGTTCAAAAGTCACGGAGGCGTAGAGAACAATCTCAACACGACAATAGGGGTGGCATTGATGCAGCTCTTTGTTTTTGTTAAACCTGAAAATTACCCATAAATTCTCGGAAAATTAAGAATTGAAACAAAAACATTATATTCAATTCGAGTTGGACTTCCAGCAGCTCAAATTCGGTCTGGGTTCGGGTTGGGGTGGTTAAAGCTCGAACGTGAAATATTTCATTAATCTTTTATATTTTAAAACCTGTTTTCAAATAAAATTAATGAAAATTAAAATACAATCCGCAAATTACACACAAATATTAGTCTCCAAAATAACCCACAATCCAAATCCAAAAGAAGATAATTATCTCAATATTTTATTTAAGATGCATATAAGTAAATAATATAGGTTTCTTAAAAATATTACGAAATAAAGTTTATGAATAGAAATGTGACTAAAATTAGTATAATCATATTTTCATAGTCATTACGGTAAACAAATTGAACATATTTGTAGTCACTAAAAGTTACTAAATCAATTTTTCATCAACCACAATTATAATCATATATTAGGAAATAATTTATAAATTATATTCATATATTATATTAATTTTATATTAAAGTTAAATGTTTCGGGTTTTTATCGGTCCGGGTCTGGTTATAGATTTTAGAGCCCGTTAAGGCGTTAATGAGCCTAAAATTTCGGGTTCACACTGTTCTTTTTTATTCGGGCCGGTTAAAAAGAAAAAACTTGGACAGGGATCATAATTCGGGCCGGGCCATGGTCGGTTTCCGGGTTTCAGTTCGGTTTCTCCCACCCCATGGCTCTACTCGACAAGTAGGGCGTCATCAACATGTGTGCCCTCTTGCCCACGTATGCTCCGCGTGCAGCGCGTCATCATAAAAGTCTCGTGTTTTGCTTAGATTTAAATTTTCTCGATTGAAATGGTCTAATTAATGTCTTCGTTCCGATATATATTACGACTTTCGAGATCTGGTCTGATTTGTTTAAATAAATATGTTTAAACCTGATCTGAGCCTACAATAAATCTAGTAAAAACATCCAAAATCTCGAACGTTAGAGGTAGTAGCATTTTGAATGTGTCAACATCAAACTATCATAGGATGTTTTTAGACTGTAATTTGCTGGTCTGGTTTGTTTAAAACTATTTTGGTCTGGTTTGACCTGTTTAAGTCTGGTCTGGACGGATCTAGTCTAATTTAGTAAACATCTGGTGTTTGTGTACTTTATACTCCGTAACTAGGAACGTCAAGTCTGGTCTGGTCTAATCTGTTTAAGTCTGGTCTGATCTGTTTAAATCTGGTCTGAGACTGAAAACAAAGTAAAAACATCCTTATTCTCCATCTTAAAATTCTGTCCGTGCTATTAATAATTCAAACTCAGACTTTAGCTAGTTTTGCATTGTAAATGGATTTTTGTGTGTACAAAGTACAAACTCAAACCATTCACGGACGACATACTTTTGATAGGTAATCATGCTCCACGTGAAGTATAAAAAATCAAAATTTTAACGATCAAAATTTGAAAGATTGGTTTACTTCACTTCATTTCTAGCCCTACTCTCATCGTAACCGGACATGATAGAAATCTGAAGAGCAAATTTAGGAAAATCACAAAAAAAAAACAAAGGGAAAACAGATTATTAATGGCAAATCTGAAGTCATACTACATGGATAATGGATCTCATTTATTAGGCAAAGGCATTGAAGTTCAAAACACAACATCTTCATAGGAGGACAGCTTCTTGAGGACATAAACTGGATCTCCCACTTTAATTGTTTTACTTTTAGCTTTAGCATTGTGATCATCACAAACAAACCAATGTCCGAAGTATACCTGCATATAGGTCAATAATATGAGTGAAAACTTTGAGGAATATAGTTCAATAATATGAGTGAACACTGTTGAAACTTTGAGGCGTGATTTAGAATCTTATATAATGATTTATTATATTACACGAAGTACTCCGTATTAATCTAGGGTGTAAGGACAAATAATTTAACACAAAAGGAGTACAATAGTTTAGGAATTGATTTGTTGAATACCAAATGCATTTTACTTGAAATTCAATAGTATGAAGTACATCATTCAAATGCAAGTGAATAATAAGGAAGAATTCTCGAAATAGGAGTAAAAACGTTTGAAAATTTCAAAATATGATTGTCATATTTCATTCCCTAAATAAGAGTAATTACTAATTACCATCAAACTTGGTTGGAAAATAATGCTAAACTCAAAGTTTGATACTACCAAAACCTGTCAGTAATTACTCATATTTAGGGAATAAAAACATAGTAGTCCTAATTTGGAATACACAAACGATTTTGGTAGACAATTTCCCAAATAATAACAGTGGGGGGATGGCAGAATCTCTAACCTTTCCATCTGGTTTTTTATCTGGATTCAAGTTCTCGGTTGAGCGGAATTTTCTCATTGTTTGAGTTGGCTCAGAGCCAAGTTCTGCTGTTTCTTGATTAATTCTGGGTACCTGATCAACAATTTCACTCAAGTTTATACTATGAGATCACAACAAAGTCCAATATCAAAGGCAGTAATAATTACCTTGCAACGTTCACAAAGTTGTGTAGAGTTAAATTTTAATCCGTTTATCTTGACCTTTTTCCATAAATCTTCAGCATATGATGTACATCCATTAACCACAATGCTGCAGGCAAGTTCAAAAACGAAATTTTAAAAAGTAATCCGGTTTTGGGAATGCAAATAAATGTTCCATTTGATCAAAACAAGTACTCCGTATTTTTCAAGCAATTTCCTGGAAAAAGTCCACAACAACAACATCTAAACCTTATTTCATACTCCCCCGTCCCATAAAATTCTTCCTACTTTCCTTTTTGGGTCGTCCCAAAAAATTCTTCCCACTTACCATTTTTGGACAATTTGTGTGGTACACATTCATTTTACATTTTTCTTACATAATCACAACCATACATTTCCACTTTAATCAACTTTCTTAATTTCCGTGCCAAGTCAAATGGACTAACATGAATCAACACATGAACTCGGGAATAAAAAGATGGCAACAAAAAATGAAATAGATACATGAGATAAGATAAGATAAGATAAAAAAGAATAAAAAATAAGAGAGACAAACAATATAACAAAAATGAAGAGAAATAAGAAATAAGAAAGATATAAAGATAAAAAATAAAAAATACTACCATGTCCCACTAATATTGGAATGTGAGGAGGTGGCGCGTTTACTAATACATGTTTGATATAGAATTGATAAAGTAAGAATAAAATAAGAATTATTTATCACCACACAAACTGAAAAGAAAAAATAGAACAATTTAAGTGTAGGACGTAGTATATTACTCTTTACTTTTGTAATACACATATGTTTGAGTCCTCTCTCCCTCTTCTTCCACCATTTTTATCCCCCACCTCTGTACTGGCTCGTGGCTACAAGTGCATACAACTTTTTATGGGTTGATTTTCTAAATCCCAGTTACACTAAGTTATCCCACATCAATTGCATACAAAATATAAAGGGAGAACTACAAAATAACCCCTCGAACTTTCATAAAAAGTGAAAATAAGCCCTTTTATAGGAGGTTCTGTCCGGCCGTCGCCGTTTGGGGCGTTTTCTGGTGGAATTTTTTGATGAAATTTTTGAGCATCTTCTTCATTAAGTCTAGTTTACTCATACTAAATTTTATCTAAAAATTCAATCGGGAAAGCAGACAAATGAATTTTTGAAGATAATTGTGCAATTTGACATCGCAGTATATTTCAGAAAATCATTTGACTGCCTTATCGAATGAATTTTTAGCTGAAATTTGGTTTGAGTAAACTAGACTTAAAAAAGATGCTCAAAAAATTTCATCAAAAAATTCCACCGGAAATTGCCCTAAATAGCGACAGCCGGAAAAAACCTCTTGTACAAGGGCTTATTTACACTTTTTATGAAAGTTCGATGACATATTTGATAGTTCTCCCAAAATATAAACTAAATTTTGAGCCAGTTTTCCTATCTAGGTTACCATAAACTGAAAATTTGACTTCTAGAAGTTTTACTTGGGTCTAAATCTAGTGATCTGCACAGGCTCCTCCAACCGCTCATTTAAAGCATCCAGTGATTCCTGGAAACAATGAAGAACAAAGAAAACATAGCTATCAGAATCATAGTTAAGTTAAAAAAGAAGATTAAAGCATCACGATTTGGTAACAGATTCTCTGACCTGGGATGCCAGAAGAAGCGCATAGGCATCTTGGAACTTAAGTTTGTGGCCCGCAGCATATTTGGGGACTGCAGGCCGATTCTGTGATGCTGTCCGTCAACAAAAGGAGAGTGATATTTCAATTAGATGTCCTTAAATGTGAATAATAAAATTAATGGAAGCCATTATGGGAATTTAATATCAAACTTTTGAGAATTCATACCAATTGTTAGACCATGTGAGAATTCATATGAATTATGGCTGAACAAACAAACCGAAAAACCGAAACCGATCGATCGAAATTGAACCGACCAAAACCGAAATCTACTCAAATCGAAACTGACCAAAACCGATTAATCATTGGCTGTTCGGTTTACGGTTTCACCTTTTGGGTTAAAAAATCGACCGACAAAAACATGCTAAAACCGACCGAAACCGACACAAACTGATCGAAATTAACCGAACTGAAACCGAACCAACCAAAACTGAAACCGACTCAAACCGAAATCGACCAAAACAGATTAATCATTGGCTGTTCGTTTTACAGTTTCACCTTTTGGGTTAAAAAATCGACCGACAAAAACATGCTAAAACCGACCGAAACCAACACATACCAATCGAAATCAACCGAATCGAAACCAAACCGAAACCGACTCAAACAGTGCGGTTTGGTTCACGGTTTCACCTTTTCTAAAACCGAAACCGATCAAACTGAATCAACCAAACCAAAAACTGACCAAACCGAACCGACGAACCCCTAAACTTTTACTCCCATTAAAGACAATTACTTTTATTGAATTTATTATACTATTTTCGCATTGAAGGCAATTACTTTTATAGAATTTATACTATTTTCACATGGACAGAACACATACAAATTTTGTGATGGTGCACGAATTGAGATAGTCTTAGGCATAACGTGAAGAATTATACTATGTACTTCGTATATGGTAAAAATCGTTGCTGAGCAGATTGAACTGGTTTACTTTTTCTTTTTCGTAAAATAAGATAAATTTGGTGTAATGAATCAAAATTAAACAACAATTGAAACGGAACTGCTCTTTTCAGCATTATATCAACAATTTTGAACGCAATTTTAGGATTGTAAGTTATTTATAGCTTATCTGGTAAATTCTTATTAGTCTTATTAGGCAACATTTTATCAAAACATTTCGCGATCCGAATTTATTATATTCAAGATATGTAAGATTGAATTTACTTTTATGGACAATAGCTATTTATTCATATAGAACAAGCTATATGTAAGTTTTATCCACATGCCAACCCTTGTAAAAACGGGCTTATCTATATGACTAAAATAAATATGATAAACAAAAACGTGAGTTCTTATATAAAATATAAAATGCCTATATTAATACGGAGTAACATTACATTTAATGATTATGATTATTTCAGTTGTTTCATTTTTAAAATGCCATCAATAACTTTAGTCATACTTTTATCGATGAATTTTATTTGAACAAAATATTGTAGAAAAACCTCTACACTATTAGAGATTTTTTGGTTCGTTTTAATATATGAACAACTTGGACCTACATTTATGATTTATCCCCAACCGCACACACTCCCAAAAAACTTGGTCCACTTTTTTCTTTTTGATTATCCCAAAATTTTTGTCATTTTTATTTAGAGCCCGTTTGGTGATCCCTTTTTTCGGTTTATCAGGCTTATCAACCAACTTTTTTACCAAACAGTAACTTTTAATTTCGCGCGCTGAACTTTGTAATAAGCAGAAAAGGTAAGGTTGAAGTTACTTTTCTGGCTGTATTGGCTGAAGTTACTGTAGATGATCATTTTAGCTATTTTTCATATAATTTTTTATTTAATTTATTAACAACAAATATTTTAAATATAATTTTTCCATGAATCAGCAGAATAAGCCAATACAGTCACTTCAGACAGAATTTCATAAGTTTCAGCAGAATCAGCCAATTCAGCCAATTTTAGTGTTACCAAACGAGCTCTTAAAGTAATAAATATTTAGCTAAAGTTATTTGTCTTCTCCTCTGCAGAAATATCAACTACATAGAATGAGATGCCAATATGTCACGTAAAGTATAGTACGAACCTTCGTGAAAGCGCACTAGCCTTCGAGGTTGGCCAAGAAACTTGGTGAACCACTCCGCGGCTTCCTCTCCCTCGTCCAAGGCAGCGCCAGTCCACCCCCACAGGCCGACACCATCGGTCAAAGTTGAAGGTTCAAGCAATGGGACCTTCAGAACATTCATTGCAGGAGCCCTTACCTCTGTTGAACAGATCAAACGTAATCATTAATCTTTCCCCAAGTGTCTTTCTAGTGAAGACTGAATATAATTTACGAACTTTAACCTACCAAAAGCTGTTTTTTGTAGTAATTCGTGACAAAATCCGTAATAAATACTTTGTTTTTTGTAGTATGACTTATTCTCTTATAAAGTCATACTCGTTATATGGTATTTTGGTACAGTTGTACCATCACTATCACCCATTTTTTAACCTACTATATGTATGGAGTAATTTCTAGACTATTCCACTTAGAATGTTTGATTTTAGATTGAAATTTGCTGGTCTGGCCTGAATTGATCTCGTCTGTTAAACGTTTGGCCTCTGTGTATTTTATAACTACGGAAGTCTGGTCTGATTTGATTTGATCTGGTGTGTTATGATCTGGGACTGAAAACGGTCCAATAGAAAACATCTTTATATTCAAGGCAAAATAAATATGAAGTAATATCTTCTTCAAATTATAATAGTGAAAAATACTCCCTCTGTCCCTTTTTATTTAGTCAAACATTATTTTTTAAATCAATGATGTTAGACTTTGACGAATTATATATTTATACATTGTAATATTGATAATATGAAAATGTTCTTCATTAAAAATATTATCATAAAAGTATAAATTTATTAAGCTTGAAATAAATATATTAGTTAAAATAATGGATCAAATTTATCATCTTTGACTAGAGAGGTCAAAGTTGTCTAAATAAAAAGGGACGGAGGTTGTAAAAAAATTTAGGGTCCATATATTAAAAGGCTCCAAAAAAATGGGCCATGAGTGAGCTTAGACATGAGGTGGCGGGAAAATGTCTAGTCAAAAGGTTTGGAAAAGACAAGAAAATTTTGAAAATAGACATGAAAAGGCTTAAAAGGGATGAGCTAGACAAAAATTCTTTGACAAAAGTTTTTTTACAAAGAAGAAATTGACCATATTTAAAAAAACAATTCTATAAATATGCTATATGTAGAATCTATTTAATACCGAGAAGTAAAAGCAATGACATATTCTTTTGTTTGCACTTTTTATACACTTAAAAATTATGTATGTTTAATAAAGTGAAAAGTAGGTTAAATCTGTGTTACATGCACTCCCTCCGTCCCAAAATTATCTTCATAGTTACTATTTACACGGTCAACTCAAATTACTCTTAAACTTTTACTTTATATATTAAATTTTTATCAAATTTAAATTTTCTTGATCAGCCTTTGTAGCAGATTTAATGTAGTTTCTGAATATGTAAATTTAATTTACTAAAAATAATTTGAGTGTGAACAGGGATCAAGTTGTTTTATCGTCAGTCAAGCATCGTAAACCGAACTACGAAGATAAATATGGGACGGAGGGAGTAATATTTTTTGGACATTTATTATATTCTTTTTTATATCCGTAGAAAATAGTCATATTAAAAAGTATACTCCCTCCGTCTCCCAATTAAGTTCTCGGTTTGACTTCATACATATTAAGAAAATAAATTTGACTTTACTGTAGAGTGCACTGTTTTGCACTATTCAAACATTGTTTGGACACTGTTTGACACTGTTTTGCACTGTTTGACATTGTTTCGATGTAGATAATTTGCCAAATAAGGAAAGTAAGGAAATGTGAACTTAATTTAGGGATTACCGAAAAAGGAAAGTGCCAACTTAATTAGAGGAGGGAGGGAGTACGCAGAGAATAATTTTTTGGACATCTCGTCACGCCTTAGGTAGTTATCACCCATCAAATTTCTTGTTCGGTCGGTTCTTTTAATATTATCACACATTCCGTATAAAATTTATGTAATTTTAAATTATATTCTTTCCGGTCCTAAATAAACTCCACACTTTGACTTTACACAAATTAAGGAAATAAATTTGATTTTACCGTAGAGTACACTGTTGGACACTTTTTTGCACTGTTTTGATGTAGATGATTTGCCAAATAAGGAAGAGAAGAAGTGTGAAGTTTATTTTGGACCTATCCAAAAAGGAAAGTGTGAAGTTTACTTAAGACCGAATGGAGTATTTACTTTAATTTGTTTTATTTATTTAATACTCCGTATCAAACTATCCATAGTACAAATGTCACGCAGATTAAGAAAGTGAGAATTATGTAGTGGAGAGTTGTGCAGAGGGGAGAAATGTGTAAGAATATGTAAGAACTGTTGTGAATCACAAATTCTTTGTCATAACGGGAAAAGCAAGTTCTTTTTAGAACATGGAAAGTTGGAAGTAAATTATGGAAGGGAGGGGGAGTACTTCTTAACTACTAACTACTAGAAGAAGGAGCACTAAACTCGGATTCAACACAACCTACCCAGAAACGAGTCCTTTCGGGCCTTCCAGCCGTGGCTGAATGCCTCCGGCGGGAGTTCCACCTGAACCAGAGCAAGCTTCGGGTCGACTCTTTGCGTAGCCCCTCTGCCGCTTGAGTTCACCACCAGCCATTGACGATCCCACCGGAAACCTAACCGCACCATTACCAGCAATTGAAGAGACCGAAATTTGAAATTATTTCACCAAAACAGATCAGATTCAGTAGCGTATATACATACCAGTGGAAGTGATGGAAGCTTCTGGAGGAGAAATCGAACGGCAGGATTTGATGGGGTATATGAAGATGGACTCCACTTTCGCTGCTTCTTCACCTCCTTCTTCTTCCATTTCTGCTTCTTCTTCCTTCCATAGAAGAAGTCTGCGGAGTAGTTCCTTCCATAGAAGTCGGAGTAGGGTAAAGATGCTCATTTTACAGTAATTTGAATTGTTCTGTATTTCTTCTTTTCTGCTGCCTTCTTGCTGACTGTATATATATCTTCTAGCTAAGTTGGGGCGTGTGATGATAATATTATTGTCTCATTTCCCTCCATTTTATAATCAAGAAAAGCTGCACAAAAGATTGGAATCAATGACGTACGGCTTTTACTGGACAGACTCACAGACCACTATGGCTGTACTAATTTAAGCTTTGAGTAGCCTATTTTATACTGTATTTTTATTATGTTATTAATTAATGGAAGGGCTTTTCGTTTAATGGCCTTGCAAATGGCTGTAGTAATTAAGCTTTGAGGGGTGCATTTTTTGTACACATTATCTAGTTTTTTGTGTATTCGTGAACTTCTGAACGAGCTGTCTATATACGTAGGCAATCAGAGAATATGTACAATAGACGAATATTCTTGTCCGCAGCGGCGGAACCAGACAATAATTTGAGAGGGTACTCTTATATTTTTTTTTTAAAAACAATTTTTTATTAAGATAAAATAAAAACGAGTGAAAAATAATTATTAATACATATAGAGTGAGGTTCTAATAAAAAGAGTTATTCCCGTGAAAAATGAAAACGAGCGCATTTTTTACTCGTTTTGGTACACTAGTAGATATTTATATTACACTTTTTCACAATGAGAGAAAATTTTGATTTATTTATCAAATTTTCACCGAGTTTTTGATAAAAAATAGTGCATTGTTGACTGATTTTGACTCATCGGATCTCAAGTTAAATGCACAAGATTTATTTTCGATCAATTTTCATGATAAGAACTTTTTTTATTTGATCCGAAACTTATATATATGTATATGTAGTGTGTTTCAAATAAAAATGCTATTATACTAAACAAAAGGTAAATACTTATATTAACTTAAAGTAGTTTTAGAATTATTCTTGACATTAAATGATAACGTCCGTATATGTCATTATTAGAAGAAGAAATGATTAAAATTAATTTGAATTGAAGAAATAAGAATTTAAAATAAAAGATATAGAAATTCAAAAAGTGTGATTTAAACAACATTACATCCTAGAGTGATTTAATTGAACATAAATAATAATTACCAAATGGGCTAAAGTCTAAAGAAGCAATAATGGAGAAAGCAAAAAAAAATTGTTGCTCCTAAGAATTGAACATGGGCCATTTAGGTAGATAGAACTCTCCCAACCTCCACCATACCATTTGAACTATCACAACTCATACGTTCAAATAGCGACTCCGCTTTAATATATGAATACTTTCTGAACCGAGGCTGAGACATATACATATATATACATACAGAACCACCGCCGGAGAAGGAGGAGCGCCGGCACCGGCTCGCCCCCTAGTTCCACCACTGCCTGTCCGGCCGTCCAGACAGGACCCTGGTCCGGCCACCTCAATTTGAGGTGGTTTCCGGTAGTATTTCTGGCTCAAATTTTTTGTGTATATTCCTCATCAAGTCTAGTTCATCCATACCAAATTTGAGCAAAAAATTCAACCGGAAAGGCCGCCAAATGATTTTTCAAAGATAACTGCATTTTATATGTATATTCCGAAGCAGTTAACTTGCAAAAATTTGATATGAATGAACTAGATTTGATGGAAAACATACAAAGAAAATTTGAACAAAAAATACCACCAGAAATCACCTCAAATTGAGATTGGCCGGGAAGAGTTCTCTATGTAGAATAAATATGTACAAATGATGTGTGCAAATGATTTTTGGAGATAATTTGGAAAGTGAAGGAGTACTCGGGAAGCTGAGGGTATATTGTGCGTAAACCGGTAATTACGAAAAGGGAAAGAGTACTCTGGAAGCTAAGAAAAATTAATGCAAAAGAGGAAAGAATGGCGGAAAAGGGCAAATTTGAAAGGTCACATGACCGCACTATAATAAACTATATTCGGGAGAAATGACTAGCGTACATATTACACACCATTAGCATTTAGTAGCCCATTTGTAAGTCAAGTTTTTTAATTTGCCGATATTTATATCTAGTTTATAAAATTATTTTTACTCTTGCCTCTGTCCCCCTAATATTAGAGTGGTGTAGTTCTTAAGAAAATTAAAATTATGTGATTGATAATGAGTTGATTAAGTGAGAATAAAGTAAGAATAAATTAGAGTCACACAAATGTTACCAAGTATCATACGGGACAATAATAGAAGGGCATCCATAAATGAAAACATGAGACAATTATAAGGGGATAAAGGGAGTATGTAGTATTAGATTGTTTGAGATAAAGTGAAAATTACTGCTAATTTTTTTCAAGAAATTGTTTTTAATAAAATGGGGAAGATTCTAAATTTCTTTTGTTTTTCGTTTTATTTTTCAAAATACCATAAAGTAAGTATATACATGGATAAATTGAAACTTAATGAAATAGAAGATAAAAAAATGTCAAATACTACCTCACACTTTTTAAGAAATTAATATGTATTTATAATGCAAAATAAAGCACTCGTAATTAGGTGTTTTTACTTGGACTGTAATTTGATGGTCTGGTCTAGTCTGGTCTGGTCTGTTTTGGTCTGGTCTGGTCTGGTCTGAAATTTTATTTTTTATATTTTTTGCATAAAGATTTTATTTTTTATATATATTATAATCCATAAATAATTTTATTTTATTCATTTATAATTACAAATAATAATAAAAACAACAACAACAACAACAACAACAATAATAACAACAACAACAACAACAACAACAACAACAACAACAACAACAACAACAATAACAACAACAACAACAATAAGGTTGTTTTTACTTGGACTGCAATTCGTCACAGTCCAAACCAGACCAGAGCAAAATAGACCAGACCAAACCAGACCAAAATAGACCAGACCAGGCCAGAACAGACCAGACCAGACCAGCAAATTACAGTCCAAGTAAAAACATCCTAATAATAATAATAATAATAATTAGGGGTGTGGACTATCCGGTTTAAATCGGAAAACCGGATCGAACCGCAACGAAAAAACTGGAACAGGATCGAATGGGCATGATATCCGGTCCGGTTTTGAACCGGTGCACACCCTTAATAATAATAATAATAATAATAATAATAATAATAATAATAATAATAATAATAAAATATGGTCTGGTCTTGTCTGATCTGGTCTGGTCTGTTTTAGTCTGGTCTGGTTTGATCTGGTCTATTTTGGTCTGGTCTGGTCTGGTCTGGGACGAATTACAGTCCAAGTAAAACCAACCTTACACCCATATTATGTCTTATTGTCGCAATCCTCAAACGATCTTTTTTGTTATGCCCACAAATCCAACACAATATATGCATCTCTGTCACGATCATCTTTTCAATGTGACATTATTTCACCGTCCAACACATTATGTCATACATTAATGCAAACCTAATTGATGTTCGATAAAATTTATCCATCAATCTAGTCAGCATATCTCGATCACATAGAAATCCCGATGCACTCTCGCATTTCATCCACGCCTATGATTCTATGATATACATCCCCATCTAATTCACAATTCACAATCCATAATCTTTTTATCACAGATGTTTTTCCACTATGGATGGAATGGGTGGATTCACTTAGGGAAATACGATAATGAAGAAAGGAGAAAAAATTTATTTGATGATGAAATTAAGATAACAAGAAGAAAGAATAGAAGAAAGAATAAAAATATAAATAAAGTAACAATAAGAAAAAAGGGGGAAAAGAAAATAATAAGAAAACATAACAAAAAGTAGATGAGAAAAAGGTCTTTAATAAGAAGAGAATGATTAAGAAGAAAAACATAAAAAGGGAAATGAAACAAAAATACAGGAAGAAAAAGTAAAATAACAAAAAGGTCTATTTGAGAAGGAATTTTTATAAAAAAACACTCATAATAGAGTGAGAAATAGGATAATAAAAACGAAAAAGAAATAAGAACAAGTGGATAGAAAAGGGAATAAAAAAGTGTGTGGGGATGAAAATAAAGAGAAAAAATAAAAAATGAAACATGAGACCAAAACGGTACAATTATTTAGAAAATAATTAAATAAGGCAATTTAAGTATATTTTGAGAAATATTTTTAATAGATATATAATATAATGAAGTTAGTGTTGATAATTGTGATGGTATAAATATATTATTTTTAATATTTAATGATTAATTTTTCATCTAAGATTGTTAATGGTTTCCTAATCGAAAATGAGAACCTTTATATAGGACGTCCAAAAAAGAAAAGTGAAAATCTTTCTATGGGACAGATGAAGTATTTCTTTTCTCAAAAAAATAGAATTTAATAAAATACTTAATTTCATATATTCTATTAAAAAATAGAAAATATAGAAAATATTCTATTTAAAAATGAATGATGAATATGTGATCAAACCCTGTACAGATCACTATGCCCATCTAGTTTATTTGCTTGGTGGAGCTGGTGAATTGACGAAGCATACAACCTCATCAAGAACATGATATCACCTGGACACAACGATATGAAGCCATCAAGGCACGGAGTATTTACACATTAATCTAACAACCATAAGCCTCAGATTCTATTAAACAGAAGATCCCGATGGATGCAAAAAGTTGTTCAAAGAAGGCCACATTCACCCTAAAGAAATAAGCTAGTTACTCAACAGCTGCCAATAAAAGTTTCAAACCAGCACCAAATTCAAAAAATATAGAGGATTAGAATCCCATCGAAGTTCCACGCTTGCTCAAAATCTTAGGATTTATTTAGATGAGGGTTTTGGAGGGCTCATTCTATCTCTCGAAAAATACTTTCAGAGAACAAATGAAAGGTGATTGAAGAGTTTCATGATCTTATATCATGATCATCTCCCAATTTTCATAGTACCTCAAATACACACACATAAAAATGATTATCTCAGTTCTTGAAGGTTTCAGTCAAGGAATCACACACTTATCATGCTATTTTTGTCAACATTCTGAGGCATAATTAATGGTTCTTGATTCCTGCCTGACTAAAATTGTTGGGAAGAGCTAACATGATCATTACATGTGTGTGTTAATACACACGCGCACGCAGATACACACACACATACACACAGACAGGCACATATACTTATATATTGCAAGAACTCTCCAAAGTTTTCTCCTTCAAAACCCTCCATCCAAGTAGAACCCAGGAAACACAAGTGAGCAATTATGACCTTGTTATAGAAAGGTGGGAAAACATAATTTAAATGTAAAATGACATATATGTCAGCAAAACAAGGCCTAGTTTGGTAACTACAGCACCATAGTTAATATTACTACTCAATGCTTAGTTTCTAGAGGAACAGTCATATATAATGATGACCTCAAAGTGTATACAATCACAACTACATATTTTTAAACCTCATGGATCGACTGAATTGCCGAGGGCAAATGAGAACACTTCACGCACTGGAGGATACTCAACCAATGCAATATCCATCGCATAGCCAGAAACAGGAAGTTTCAGGTCCCTCAACACATTAAAAGCCTCTGCCATACGAGCCTTAGGCACCCCTTCAGCTACAGGGCAATAGGGAAGCCATGTATCGGGGCGATACTCCTCCCCCATTTCAACCCCTTCCTTTCTCATCAAATCAAACAGCTGTGAATGAAACTGAAGGAGAGATAAAGTTGGGGTTGGGGCAAGAAAGAGCAGATTATTGTCATTCGAGAAGCTCCCAATGGATGCGAACGATAGGGGCAAAGGCTCTTGCTTTGACACAAAATTCTTCACTGTACTCTCAAGCTTGAAAGGGTCAAACAGGGAGCTCGAGAAGAGGGTAATGTGCGGTCTGGATTCAATCTCAATGAGCTGAGTGCTGATCTGTCTTCTAGCTAACACATTCCATGCCTTCAACACCTGGTTCTCAAGCGCAGGATCAAAGTATAGCTCAATTGCATAACCCTGCGACATTGCCTCTAACAAGAGCAAACATAAACCATAAAATCAATCCAGAATTCCATATGCACAAAACTGAATGAAGAACAGTACAAAAACTAGTTCAACAAATTCAAGCGTGAAAACCCGAAAAATATGTGGATTCAAGATCTAAAGAGCAGATATAATAAACCAAACCAGATCATCAACAAAGAAATGAAGAAATCAATACATCACACGCAGATAATCTAAAAACCTAACGAAAATGTTGTGCGAAGAGCTTAAAGTAGCACATACCGAGCTCCGATTAGAGGCGAATAAGGGACCAGAACCTGGAGATCCAACAGTCCGAAACAAAGAGAAATGGGCAAAATGTGAGAATTAATAGAGAAGGGGTGAGGTAAAATGGATTACGGAGCTATGGATTAGAGAAAAGGAGGGTACATATCAGACAGTACACGGGAGTAATGAAAAGAGTAGAGTGAGTGTCCCAAAGGTAATGTTCTTTACAAAAGGGGGAGTGCAGTTTCTTCACGGATTGGTTTGATTTTTATGTGTATCTTGCGTTAATGGAAGCTCACGATGAACATTACACGATGATTTCCAACGTAGAAACCAGTTTTTTTAAAGTTTCTTAAAATACTCCCTCAGTAATCTTTTCAAACTTTCCTTTTTATGATACAAACTTTATCATTTTCTTGGAGTATTTCCATTTCATTCATGATCTCTACAACTTTGCTTGGTGTACATCAAATGTATACACCTTTTGTATACACATGTCTGTCCCCAACAGACAAGTTGTCTGTCCACTAACAATTCTAGAGATCATGTCTAGAGTTATCTGTGGACAGACAACTTATCTGATGGGGACAGACATGTGTACACAAAAGGTGTACACCAAACATTTTTCTGATCTCTAATAATCAATTTTTCTATGATTCTTACCTTTTAAATATTTTTATATAATTAATTTTTAAATAATCTCAAAATTTGTTTATGTCTCCCAACCATCATCTTTAAATAATCCGATTTTTTTCGATCATGCATTAACTTCTATTACACATACTTTTTGAATAATTTTAAAATTATCCAGATTCATATTTTGATCCCAGATTATTGTAGCAAATAATCTCATTAAACAATCTATCTCTCTCAATGATGCTTCTCTAAAAAATCTGCCACATCACTTATTTAATCTCTTAATAATCCTACCAATGAGGATGCCCTTATGAAAGTGATTAAAGATGTTTTAATTGGAATCAAAATTTATGATCTCTATATATTTCATAATTGTCCAAATTTGATTTGATCTAATTTGATTTGTTGTGATCTTATTTGTTTGAGAATAAAAACAATTCAAATAAAAGCATTCTAATTTGTTCATACATTTCACAGCTTTACATTTCTTATTTCGTACCATCCTATAGAAATTTCTATATCACTGCTCCCTTTTTTCATTGTTATTAGCCCATTTAATATTTGAAATTATATGTTTTGAGCACGTAATATCATTCCGAATTTATTTACTTTATGAATATAACATCAATCACATATATATTTCCACCTTCCTGTAAAATTTGGATAGAATTGACTTGCACGTAAAAAAATAAAATAAAAATTGTGTGATTCAAATTTATATACAGAAAAGTAACAATATTAACCATATATTAATTTCTTTAAATAGAAGCGGAAAAGTTTTTTGTACACCTAAACAAGAAAAGTTGACAAAATATTATGATTTCTAATAAAAAATATAACTGAAATAAAACTTAATTACAAAAATATAATCAGAGTTACAATGAATATAGTATCATGATCATGAATATAGTATCAAGATCAAGGTCAAAGTAATATTAATAGTGACTCTAATGCGCAGTACAAATCATTGCTTTCCGCCAAGAGAGCCCTCATCACCTTGCACAAGCGATCCAATGCTATTTGCTATTCCACGTGGTGCCCTTGCTGTCATGTAGCTTAACGGTAAATTGTGAACCTGAACCCAAAAATTCCGCATGATCCAGTGGAACCTCAAGAGACCTATCGGTACGTCCCACACGTTTGATGACCACAAGATTTTGCTCAAACGACCAAGGCCCTTCATCGATAACTCTGCTCAGATCCCTTTCGTGATAGAACTGTAAGAGAAATTTAGAACCCCCAATCTCATCAATTGAAACTCCCTTGACTAGTCGCCAAACCATAGCCATTGTATGGCAGAAGAATACAACACGAATGGGTTTATCAGAGACCACTCTAACCACAGCCGCTAGATCATACCCTTCTTTAGACACATCAATATTCTCAATCGAATCAGCTGCGAGCACCAAACCTCTATTCTCAATCGGATCAGTTGCGGATCAATTGATATCATGCTAACATTTTTCATGATCATATCCATAGCACTCAGACCGAAAGCCGCAAACACAAACCACAAAATACACCAAAGAATAAAAAAAGAAATCCAAATAAAATTGTTGCAGTCAACAACCAAAGAGAACTAACCCCAGCCGTGCTTTCAAAGCAGAAGGAAGAAAATCGGAACTCTCTGCAAAGCCGTTCAAGTCGCCGCCCCAGGATGCTGCCGATCCTACCAAACAACTCTCAATCCTTTTCAGAATGAAGAACGATACAGCACCCACCCTTCGACAATATAAACCAGTAATCTAACACAAATCCGTTCACAAAGAACGTAGAAAAACCTCGGCAAAACAGAAGTGTCGGACCAGAGACGAGTACATAAATGACTCGCAAACCAAAACCCTATCTAAGAGCAGGAACAGACCAGAATGAAGAAGAGAAAACCAGTGACCAGAGAGAGTAAACCCAGCGACATTGCTTGTCGCCCCAGTTTTGCCGCAATCGATCGATTGATCTGAAAACGACACCCCCGGTTACCGCCGCTAGGGTTCTCCCGACTCCACAACTCCTTTTCCGGGGATAAGTAACTATTACTCACTTACTCAGTAATTAAATATTCGTGCCAAGATGACTCAAGGATGTTATTAACTATTATTTATAATTGCATTACGGCCTCATATCTCTCCGAAGGTACTACATTTGTTGGACCCCTAATCCATAATTTGCTACATTGATTTATGCAGAAGTGTCCGATAAATATTTTGGTTGATATGATCTAATTAATTAAATTAAGAAGTGAATAAAAATTACTTAAGTGTCATTCTATGACATTTAGCATGCATTATTAAGATAAAAATATCATTAATTTGGTCTCAAGGCGGAGCTAGGGAGGTGGCTAACTTAAGCTCCGGTCCTCCCCAAATTTTAAAAAAACATTAATTTTTAAGATAAGACAAAAACTGGTAATTTTTTTCCTGAAAGATTCTTTGTACCGCCCAGTTTGCCCCTGATAGAAGACTAGAAGTAGATAATCTCACTATTAAGGCTGAAATGCTTCAAAGTTTTACAGTAGTAGGGCCGAACTTTGATATTCACTTTGCAATCTATTTTATATCAAGGTATAGAATCCAATTGTCATCTTTCAGTCTCTTGTTCATTTGCCAAAACATGATCATCTTGGAATTCAAATACCGAACCAATTTGATTTTGAGGGAAAGACATATTTCAACAATGAATATGGAGACATACGCGGGCATGAATGTGTCCTCTAGACTCTAGTATTTGACACTTTCGTAAACCAGAGTGCAAAATGGGGTGGGTTGTTTGGTTTAATGTTTCCTTACTCCTTTGTATTTAGTTTACCACAAATATCAGTGTTGCAAAAATCTTTATAAAAGTTTGGTAAGCCATAGGGGCCCTGCAAGTCCGAGTGGTTGACTAATACAGAATATCTTACTACACATTCATAAAAATAAAAACAGAAGAGCCAATTGAAATGCCCATAGCACAACCCTGGTTTCCATGAATAGTCCCCCCCCCCCCACCCACCCACCCTTCTCTTTCAAGGACAAATAGGTACCACAAGAAACTCTAGCCTTCCAACAAACATCAAACAACTGAAATCACTGCGAATTCAAACCCGTCTCTTTGTAATCTTGCCTTTGCTATGACCTTTCTTTTTAGCCAACTTCAGCTTCTTTTTCATTTTCTTTCCAATAGGTCTCAAAGATTTCATATTGTCTGTCATCTCAACATCTGCAAATCAATCAAGTCAGATTTACTGTTAGTTTACAACCATTCCTTCCTCCATTTCCTTAATTATCATTATTACTACACTTTTAAGAGAAATAAAGAAATAGCAGGGACAAATGTCCCCAATATGTCAGTTATGCTGTTAAATATATTGGGGTGGGGAAGAAGATAAATCATTGGAATGTTTTTTGACGCTTTTAATTATCCAGAAATAATAATGAACCAGTTACCCCGTTCTTCTAGTAAAAAGACATTCAACTTGTATGCACATCAACACTAACTATACCGAAGCAAGCTAAGTTTTTTACCATAAGGTCGACCAAAAATGATTAGCATAAGACTATTGGATTATAAATACATACTTTCTCCAGTTCTTTGTCCATAAAAGAGAGACATGTTTAGTTATAGTACAACTTTTGAACTTTTAGAAAGTACAACTTTTATAATGATATGAAAGCATACTTGTATTAGTTATATATTTAAAAGGTATTTGTTGGTTTAATGAAATTGCTCATATTTATCTTGCCTGTAAACTTTTTCGTAAATTACAAGACCAATTGCTCCTTGTGAGAAAATATCACCTTTTAGTACAAAAACTTTGGAAACAAGACTCCGTTGAGGGGGTGGATGAAGTAACATACACTTAATTCATTGAACGCAATCGGAAATAGCAACTGTATCTGATGCCTAAGCAGTTAAAAATCGCTACAAGGTGATTCAAGTAGTTACGAGCAAAACTAGGAACTCGGATAACTTGGTGATTACTAGCGCTGTATCAATTAAATGTAAAAAACATAGATCCCCAAAATTCAAGTAGTATATTAGTCTTATAATTCTTACATATGAATAAAAGAATAATAATTCTAATAATGACGTAGCAGAAACAACAACATCCAAACTAATAATGAAGTAGCAAAAAGCCAAAAAACATAAACATTCTGAGTTTCCATGAAAATCAACTAGCTAATAATTTAGTCCGAAACTAATCTTCATTGGGTTCAAGGGTGTCATTTTCTTCTTCATCCTCCATACACCTAAATAGATCCTCCCCAGATCTTCACAAGTTTGGTACCCACGAGTTCTTTGTAATGTCATTTTTCAAATTTTAGGATGTTATTAATTGGACCAAAATTTATGATCTAGTCTAATTTGATCTGGTCTAAACTAGTCTAGTAAATGTTTGTTTTATTTGTATTTTGAAAATGTCGAAGTCTAGTATGGCCTTTTTAGGTCGGTCTCGTGTCAGACAATAACTAGTCCAATTAAAAACATCCTTAAAATACCCCCTAATTATTTACAAATTCCATACTATCCCTCTCTAATTTAAACTTTCCAAATTAACCTAAAAAGTACTACGTAATAATTAGTGGATGTCGAGTAACTCGGCCAGTCAAACTTGTCACCAACTTAAGAAAATCTTCAAATACTCGGCAAGTAACTCGAAAAACAAGAAAGGGCCGAGTTAGAGTGCTAAGTAGATAACACATTTGAACACAGGAAAAACAGAAAAGCTATAGTGAGAAACTACACATATCCATTATAGCGCTATCAACAAAAGCCTTGCAGAAGTTTCAGATTTCATATACTACCTCCATCCCATCAGAAGGTTCCCGTCCACTATTCACATGGTCAACTTAAATCATTTTTTATCTTTTACTTTATAAATCAAATTTTTATCAAATTTACATTTTTTATCAGGCTTTGTAGCAGTTTTAATGTAGTTTTTGAATATGTTAATTTTATTTACTAAAAATAATTAGAGTGTGAACCGTCAACGGAAACCTTCTAGCGGGACGGAGGGAGTATGTAACTGCCACAATTATGAGATTTCACGGTTTCACCTATTTGTGTACTCTCTTGTTTGGAGTTACAAATCTAATTGGGCAAGTGTTTACTCAGTTGTACCTGAAATCATTATAGAACATCCTAATAAAGAATTTTGGCTAATGCCCACCACTTCACTGGATCACTATGTAAGTGGAATCTCACATATACAGCTGTATGGCTAACAGGCAACCACTGTATCTCTGTGGTGTGATTTCATGTGAGTGAATTATAGTAGTTTCAATTCTATAGTAAATAAGTGTGTAATTCGAAGCAAATTCAATCATTTTGATGACAAGCCAAATCTCAGAATGAACTTATCAAACACATAATACATCGTAACGCAAGAACAAAAAAGATTAAACCTTTCGTATAAAATCGAAGCCAAAACACATATAACACTGAGATAAGACGGTAAATTGAAAGGGGGGGAGACAAAGAGAAAGCATACCCATATTGCTATCCTTGTTGGCAGAAGTAGACGTTCCAGATTCTATAGCCATAGCCATGGGCTTGTTCGCATTGGGTTGGGAGCGGACGGGAAGCTTAGGGGCAGCAAGGGCAGCTTCTTGGGCAGCGAGCTTAGCGTCCTCTTTCTTTAGGGTGATAGGATCCGCAGACACAATCTCTCTTCTAATGGCTCTCAGCCTCTTCTCCCTCTTCGATCTCAGGGACTTGGCCATTGTCCGCGATTTTGCTAGGGCTTCCGAGGCAGAGGTATGAAAAAGGTCTCTTTGTTTTATTGAAAAAAGAATATGTTACCATTACACAAAACCGAGAGATTATATACCAGACTAGACATGCCCACTAGGATGTACTTACTTTAATTTGCTGGTCTGATCTGGTCTGGTCTGGTTTCTTTGTATTTTTATAACTATCTAAGTTTGGTCTGGTCTGGTCTGGTCTGATCTGATCTGGTCTGGTCTGGTCTGATCTGATCTGGGAGGAATTACGGTCCAAGTAAAAACATCCTACGCTCCCAACAAATATACTCGGTCAATCACAAACACTTTTTAAAGTTGGCCACCCTTAAATTAAAGCACTTTCTGCACTTAAATTAGAGCACTAGAATCACTTCTGCACTTTCACTCAAACACTCCAACTTCTGTTTCTGCTCCCTGAAGGAGCAAAAACAGTTTTAAGAATCAGATCCAAACACCCCCTAATACGCCGAACAGAGGATAGACACCATCACCGCGACAGTCGCGAAGGATGAAGAGAGGCCACATGCTGAGTCAATCAAGGACATCGAAGAGGTCCCCTTGGATGCCTCTCGGCCGGAGCGAGTCCTAAAAATTGGGAAGCAACTCCCACAGGACTAGCGCGATGGCATCCTCCTGGTCCTACGGTCATACGCAATCATCTTTGCGTGGGGGCCGGACGACATGCCAGGCATCAGCCGGAAGGTGATCACTCATCGGCTATCAGTCGATCCCACTTCCACGTCAGTCAAGCAGAAGCGGCACTACCTCTCAGCCGAAAGATGGGACTTCGTCAAGGGGGATGTCACCATGCTCCTCTCCATCAGCCACATCAAGGAGGTGAAGTACCCAACATGGCTAGCCAACGTTGTTCTCGCCCAGAAGCCACCGACATTCAGAATGTGCGTTAACTACACTGATCTGAACAAGGCGTGTCCCATGGACCCGTTCCCTCTCCCCAACATTGATCAGTTGGTGGACGAGACGGCGGGCTGCGAGTTGATTCATTCTTGGATGCCTTCAGAGGGTACCACCAGATCTTCATGCATGAAGATGACGCCGAGAAGACGGCCTTCATGATCCCAGAGGGAATTTTTTGCTACCTCGTCATGGCCTTTGGGCTCAAAAATTCAGGCGCCAAATACACCAGGATGGTAGCCAAAATCTTCAGAGCAGTCCTCAGCCGGACGATGGAGGCATACGTCAACGATATGATCGTCAAGAGCAAACACGCTACCACCCATGTCGACGACCTCCGGGAGATCTTTGAGATCATGAAGAAGTTCCAGCTCCGCGTCAACCCCAAGAAATGCACCTTTGGTGTCCAAGGAGGCAAATTCCTGGGCTACATGGTCAGCCGAAGGGGCATTGAGATTAATCCGGAGAAGATCTAGGCCATCATAAACATGGAGCCACCGCGCAACGTAAAAGAAGTGCAACGGCTGACGGGACGGCTTGCGGACCTAAACCGCTTCCTCTCCAAATCGGCCGAAAGATCTCTCCCTTTCTTCAAGATCATGCGCAAAGCCAACAACTTCAAATGGACGGCGGAGTGCCAGCAAGCATTTGAGGAGCTCAAGAAGTACCTTTCATCCCCTCCCGTGCTTTCTAAGCCGAAAGCCGGTGAGACCCTCTTTTTATACTTAGGGGTGAGCACGACTTCCATCAGTTCCTTGCTCATCCACGAGGATGAAGGAGTGCAAAAGGCTATTTTCTACGTCAGCAAGACGCTCCAGGAGGCTGAGCTCAGGTACTCCCCCATCGAGAAGACGGTGTTGTTCATCGTCCACACAGTGAAGAAGCTAGGGCACTACTTCCAGGCTCATGCCATCCATGTTTTGACTCAGCAGCCCCTTCGGCGCACTTATTTGGAGCCCGACTAGTACCTCAAGGATGGTGAAGTGGGCAATCTTCCTTAGCCAGTTCCAAATCGAAATCAAGCCAAGGCCATCTATCAAGGGGAAAGCCTTGGCCGACTTCGTCACTGAGTGTACGGCAAGGGAGACAGCCGCCACCATACCCGGGGCAGAGCCAGATGAAGCATGGACCCTTTTCACTGATGGTTCATTGGCCGCCAAAACATGTGGAGGCATCCGCTTCAACTTCAGGACGTCCTCATCTCCCCTGAAGGATTCAGAGCTTACTATGCCATCCGCTTCAACTTCAGAGTGTCCAACAATGAAGCCGAGTATGAGGCTCTCCTCAGCGGCTTCAGACTCACCGCCGGCCTCAAAGCGCGGCATGTCAGAATCAAGTGCGACTCCAATCTGGTGGTGGGCCAGATCGAGGGCTCATACGAGGTCAAAGAAGGAAGGATGAAGCAGTACAAACAGGCGGCTGAGGAATTGCTCAAGGCATTTGAAACCCATGAGATCACACAGATCCCAAGGGCGGAGAATGCTGAGGCCGACATTCTCTCCAAGCTTAGCACGGATACTCCGGAGCACATCTCCAAGATAGCCAAGGTTGAGGAGTTAAGCATGTCCAACATCCATGCCAGCCCGATCATGTGCATTCAACAATGCCCGGAGGACTGGATATCCGACATCATGACCTTCATCACTTCGGCAGAACTACCCCAGGACGAGGAGCGGGCCACATTAGCCAAACTCAGGGCCAAGTTACACCATCGAAAATGGGAAACTCTACAAGAGATCTTACAACGGCACTCTCCTCCGATGCCTGCACCAAGACGAGGCCGAAGTAGCCATGGAAGAAGTCCACTATGGTGTCTCCTCCTTACATCAGGGCCCTTTCAGCATGTCCCGACGTCTCGTCGTCCAGGGCTATTTCTGGCCGACGATGGCACGGGATTGTGCTAACCTTGTAAAGAAGTGTACCGCATGCCAAGTACTTCAGAAGGCCCTCGGTCGGCCAACCGTCAATTACGCCCCGGTCAGCACTACAATCCCATTTTCAAGATGGGGGATTGACCTGGTCGGCCCCCTACCTATAGCCGCCGGTAACAATCGCTACATCATCGTCGCAGTCGACTACTTCACCAAGTGGGTCGAAGCGGAACCTTTGGCCAGCATCACAGGGGCTAGGTACCAGAAGTTTGTCCACAAGAACATCCTTACCCGCTTTGGCATTTCCCAAGAGATCGTATCCGACAACGGCACCCAATTCAAGACTGCACTCTTCCAAGAGCTCCTCCAGGAATGGGGAATTAGGCATCGCTTCTCCTCCGTTGCTTACCCTCAAGGTAACGGGCAAGTCGAGAACGCCAACAGAACCATACTGGAGGGCCTGAAGAAGAAACTCCAGGACACAGGAGGCAGCTGGGCCAACGAGCTCCCCAACATTCTGTGGTGCTACCGTACCACGCCGAGGAGGGCGACGGGTGAAACACCCTTTGCCCTGTGCTATGGCTTTGAGGCGAAAGCACGCACAGAGGTCACCATACCTAGCCGATGGGTGGAGCAATATGAACCTAAGGCTAACGAAGAAAATATGAAGATCGACCTTCACCTGGTCGAAGAAAGACGAGAACAAGCCTACATCCGGGCAAAGAACTACCGGCGTCAAGTAAAATCATACTATGACGCCAAGGTACGTTCCCGGGAGTTCCAAGTGGGGGATTACGTCCTCCGCCGAAGGGAGGCAAGCAAACCGACGGAGGGTGGCAAGCTAGCCTGGAAGAATGAAGGGCCCTGCATCATCAGTGCCATGGTAAAACTCGGCACCTACAAACTTAGACACCCAAATGGGTCTTGTGTACCATGAACGTGGAATGAACATCACTTGGTGAAGTTCTATCAATAATCCGAAGGAGGCGAAGTTGGCAAAGCCCTCACCTTTTAACGGGTTATTGATCGATTACCACCCTTGGCCTCGAGCCACTTATCAATGAAAAATGTCTTCCGTTCATTTTTTTGGAATTTAAAGTAAAAAATGCAGCGTATCGTGTCGACCCCTTAGAACGAAAGGCTCAGGTATGGCTGACACAGTGCGCTATATCGACCCCTTAGAGCGAAACGCTCAGGTATGGCCGACAAAGCACATCGTATCGACCCCTTAGAGCGAAATGCTCAGGCATGGCAGAAGATGTCCCAGGACGTTGGGCCTGCAAACGGCCCACATCTTGAAATGGGAAGCACACCGCGTTGTCCTCGCGCTAAATCGCATGACGGCAGGCCTGAATCATGGCCGAGGTGACAAAAATCCCCAAACTCGGGGCTGGGAAACGGCAGTCGTCGGTAACCGACCAAAAGCCTTAGCCCGCGTCGTAAATAGACGATGGGACCTCCCCGAGATCATAGGACGATCCAGTAGGACTCCTTACCGGCCAAGGGAATAGCAACCCCCTTGGCTGAAGCTTGAAAGAAGGATACCCGCTCCTCGCTCAAATAAGTAAATAGGAAGAAAATAAAAGAGGGACAACCGAGGACTGTGCACTCGCCAGCCTCGAGCGAAATCCCCACAAATCAAAAGAGGGACAACCGAGGACCGTGCACTCGCCAGCCTCGAGCGAAATCCCCACAAATCAAAAGAGGGAAGCCGAGGACCGTGCACTCGCCGGCTTCGAGCGATAAAAATAAAATCCCCACAAAATTTGACTAAGTACATGCCAATTAAATGTAAGGCTAATGCTATGCGGTATGGACGAAGTATACACACAGACTACTCCAAAGCATTTGGAAAAAATTCCCAAGTGGCATGCAGAGTGGCCGACGAAGGTCACAGGTAGATAACACGGACTCAAAGGATTCGAGGGGATGCCCCCACTTTGGCCGAACAAGGGTCGGCACCCTTATCGGCCACAAGAAGGGAAACAACTACTTGGTCTCAGCTAACACTTAGAAATATTTCAAAATATGGAATAACAGAAGCAACACAAGGACAAAACAAACACTAAAGCTGGGAAAGCCAACCACATATTTGCATTCAAAAATCCGAAGTACAAAAGGGGGGCACTACGGCCATTACATATTAAGCGGAGAAATAGAAGAAAAAGGATCGAGCTTCGTCCTCGCCGGCTTCTTGAACAGACGTATCACTGCCTTCAACGGCCGCGGAAGAAGCGGTGTCCAGGAATACATCTTCATCATCCCAATCATCCTCGCCGATGC